ATATGCTCGTTTCCACCCACACATGTACACATGCACATTTGCTCAATTGCTCGCCAAGAAAAGCAACCAAACACCAGACAAAACTTGGCAACATGTGCTCGGTGCTCGTTTCGCTCATAAGTTCGTTTCGTATACTGCGAATTTATACCCACAGGAAAACATGTGAAATCGCTTATGCTAAATGCAGAAATTTCGTTTCCTTCTCTCTATATATTCCACTTTCCACTATTTGCAATGCAGTACTTGGTTACCACCATTTCCACTTTAATTTGCCACTTGATAGGTGCTCCAGCAATAATGTTGCCTAACTTTTCGTCGAATTTGGCACGGTCCATTGCCCCGCTTTGCATATTCCCCCTTTACAAGTATTATGTCTAGAATGATTTTCATTTTTTGATTTTCGCAAAAATTCCACAAACTTTTTCATTCAATACTCCATTTGCTGTTTCTGTCTCGGCACGCAACGTTCAATTCGCTTATTTGTCTGCAAATTTTCCAGGGTTTTGATTTTATTGGCTTCTGGTTCGCCGCCTCCACTAGTCTGCGTTTGTTTATTCAATGGAAATGTGCAACTGTTTGTCATTACAAACATTTGTCTGTGTTTACATTTTGTTTTCGCATAAATAACGCTTCTCAAGCCGTTCCATGTATTTTATTAGTTCAGAAGAGAAATTTAATGTGATCATTTACGCTGGAATTCTTCGTCAAAAATGAATTTGATTATAAAATATAACTGTACAGTATCATTAGATAAACTCCTACCGCTGCTGATTCCGGTCTTATAACTGTATTGTGAACAATGGGCATAAATTAATTTGATCAACGTGGCGTATGAGTAACATACGCCTTTTATGCAAGAATTTTTAACCTTTCGATTGACATGTAATCGAATAAATCACGATGATTACAGTAAATATGTTAACTTTTAAATAAAAAAACTCACTTAAAATTAGTTGCTGACACAAAAAGGTACGATATATCAATTTTCCCAAACAATACGCGACTTTGTCCATTAATTCTCCATTTTTCATTATTCATTCATTCTCTAACAGCTTATTTTTCACTTTCCCTCACACGATTGGAATACGTTTAAGTTAATACGTTTTTCAAAATTAAGTGCATACTTTCAGGCGCGCCGCTCACCAAGTTTGAACCCTTGTCACTATTGCTTTTGCAATGGCATCAAATCAAAACGTACAAAAATTCGTTGTCGCTATTCCCACTAAACAACGCAACCAACCGCGATGAGAAAGTAAGTGCGGGGCAAAAGCAGCAGCAACAATAGCAAACACCGTTGCCGAACAAATGAAAATGGCTGTGATAATTTGGGTAAATAGCGTGGTCAATATTCAATAGATTTGCGCAATGCTCCTTCTGCCACAATCATTTTTCCCTCCGTGCGCTTTCACCACCATCGACAGCTGCTGCAGCGTAGCGCTGTAATTGATACCTTTGTTGGTGGTTTAAGTCAACAATTTCGAATTTATTTCAGGACCGCCATTCGAAAATAATGAAATCCACAATTCGATGACAGTAAAAGAATAACAGTGATAATTAAATGAAATGCTTTATCCAGCAGCCTTTCGGTTGACCAATGGTGGCCGCTGCGGTGCACGACAGCAATGACCATATTTATTTGTTAGTATTATTCCATTTGTTTATTTCTGTTTTCAGTGGACACTTGTGTTGATTGACAATTTAATGGAGCGTATGAAATTGCTATAAGGCAGCGAGCGAAAGGAAAAATCGGCTCAGTGGAGTGGAAGATAACAAAATATAGCGCGATAAACTACGTCAAAACATAGCGTAGTAGCATCGAACGGTTAAAGCTGGGCCCGCCAGTCCTTCCACAAGACCACTGAAGAAGATATAGCGAAGAGCAAAAGCAATGCAAACGCCATGGACACTGCCAGAAGCGGATTCAGAGCGGACGAAGGCGCAGACGCACATACAACCAAGAATAAAGGTATAAAGACACTTCATTACAGTGCTACAAATACAAAATACATGTCCGCACAAACGCATACACACACACATAGGTGTATATTTTCACATATTCGAATGGCGCTGCCATATGACGCTGCGGTATAAAATGAAACATATGCGCTTTAAAATTAATTAATTTAATCAACAGCATGTCATTCCATCGGTCCACACCATACACTCAGCCGAGCGATCAACTAACTCTGGCCGCTTATACTCACACATATGCATACGAGTACATACTTGCTCGTCTCGGCAAGGTGAGAATTTTCACAACCATATTAAATTACAAAGTGATGAAAATGCAATCGAAGCGGTAATGGCGTGTTGTCGATTTCATAAACGATTTAAGGACGGTTCACAATTGTTTACTAAGGACAACGTCATTTCTTCACTGTTGTGGCGGTTGGGAAATTCAATTCGGTCGCCAATTCATTTTTGATAAATGACTTGTTTGATAAGAATAACTGTCACATAAGTAGACGAAGCTGTCAGGCGTGGAAGAAAAATGCGTTTCCGGCTGACATTTGTTTCCTGAGATATACGAGCCCTGCTATTGTATATATTAACTCAATTCGAGAGTTTTCGAGTTCTTAATGCGTACAACAAAGTATTATTTCAATAGTCCGCTAATTTCTCTCAGTGTAATTAAAGTAAAGATACTTTCTAACACACGAGCCGATTAAATCAAAGGACAACCGCATACATGCATATGTACATCTTTATTAATATTTGGGGAGATTTTCAAACACCATTTTCGGCAAGTTGTGATGACGTTGATGAAACGTAAAACTGGAGAAGATTCGCAGCAAACAAAAGCATACAGGGGCTAACACTTCAGCATAAAACTCAATAAACTTGTACTAGAACTGGATACAGTTAGAAACTAATTAATTTTAAGGCTAGGAAAGTTAAGCAATCACGAGAAGTGGAGTGAGAGATAGTCTTGCTCTGCGGCTTCAAACAGCCTGCAGAATTTATAATTATACCAGATGTACCGTTTTTATGTGAGCGTTAGGATACAACTCAGTTGTTCGGGAACATTTGTTTAATTTTTGTTTCTGTTTGGTTGGCATGGCATCTGTCAAGCATATTCAATAACTTTAAAGTCATTGAACCAGCAACTTCATATTTTTTCATTGTGTTGAAAATATCAAATTTTGTACCGGAACGTGATGATTTGCGGAAAGCATTAATTTTTTGTTTCCATTTGAAGAAAAGTGCTGCAGAGCCGCTTCGAAGCAAGCAATATTGGATAAAGATGATACTTTGAGTCAACAGCAAATGGCAGCCATGTTAAATGTTGCACAACAAACTATTTCAGACCGTTTGAAAGCTATAGGAATTTTGCTTCAAAGACACGAAAGAAAATCCGTTCTGCATTGAATTGTCACTGGCGATGAAAAATGGATTTATCCAGGACAACCATCAACATCGACTGCAAAAACAGATCAGAGCAGCATTTCGATTCCTACGCAAAAGTCAAAAATTTAGTGTCTGATAGGTTTGGCTCAAAAGACGAACATTTCTATTGTCATGGTATCCACAAATTGCCAGAAAGGTGGTCAAAATGTGTAAAAAGCAATGGTCAGTACTTTGAATAATTTTTTTTCACTTTCCCATTCAAAATTGGTATAATTAGTTCTCATTTCATACCGGTACACTTGGTATTTATACATATTTTTTTTCGTAATTGAGAAAACTATTAAAAGAAAGAGCATAAAAAATTAGAAACTGCTATAATGAAATTTAAATGAAATCAACGACACACAACCGCAGGGAAGGACCAAGCCATAAGCAAATTACATAAAAATGCCATCGAAGCGAAGAGCCGTATTCTTTTCAATTTGGTACAAGCAAGCAGATTACAAAAAAAAAAGAACAATCAAAAACACACAATGGAGGAAGAAGAAACTAATAGGGAGCATAGTTGAGCTGCAAACAAGCCTTGAAAACATGTAAAGCCCATTTAAAGAAGGAGGCAGCTCAGTCGTCAACACGAGCTACTTTTTAAACATTTTCGCTTCGCTCAAGAAAGGTTACGGGACCAGGACAGCAAGTATACGTACACAGACACATCCTCACATATGCTTGCCGTACATGTGTAGGACAACAAAGCCAGTCGTAAACAAGCAAATAGTAATGACAACAATACCAGCAGCGGCAGCGACAGCGGCGAAGCATGGATAGAATGTAGAGCAAATCCTGTGCAGCAGCCGAGAAACCCCAGAAGAAAGGCGAAATAGGAAACCACAATAGACGTTGACCAATTGAGGAAGTAGTAAGCGCAGAGACATTTATTTGCCGGCTTCGGGTGGGGGGCGTGATTAGGGTGTGGGCATCGCATGACATTTCGACTCTTTCTTTCTGTTTTTATTTTGAATTTTTACCCTACTTTCGAAAGTCTTGTACGATTCAGTGAAGAACAGAAAGAAATAATGGTAAATTTTTCCACCGAGAATTCGCCCGTTCCTTCGCTATAAGTTCGCCTTCTTCGCTGCTTTTGTTTGCTTTCTCCTTTCAGCTGCCATTAGACTCACGTACATAGACCTGCCTTGTTGTCAGAGCTTGCAGAAATTAAATGTGTTGTAAGCTTTTTTAATAAGAATTTTCTTCTGCAAGTTTTTTGCCTATTCCCATCAACATCGCTTAATATTTTTACGAGCTTATTATTAAAAGTTCTGCCATTTTCTCGCTCTGCTGTGGCACGTTATTCGCTTCTAGTGGCACAACGCACACGGAACCATATGCATTAGTGTGAATGCCAATTTTGCTCAATTATTGGTTGGTTGAAGATTCTAGAATTTTCTTAAGGAAGTTTTCATAAAGAGGATTTGACACTATTTCACAACTTTTGGGGTTCGATTGAAAAAAAAGGAACGAAAACTAGAGCAAAGAAGTTTGTAGCGAATTTGCTAATAACCGAAAAGATTTCGATCTGGGCTCCTTTTTGCGAAATAGTTTCATTGAGTTTGTTAATATTTTATACCATATATTACGAACAGTTTTAAACTCACCGATAAAGCTCTTCCGCTTATTGATCGTGGCGGTAATCTGCGCGGACACTCCGAAATCGGCCAACTTGACGTCCCCCTGTTCGGTCAGCAGGATATTGGCGCCTTTGATGTCACGATGCATCTTGCCCATCGTATGCAGGTACTCGAGTCCTTTCAATGTTTCACGGCACATGTAGGCGATTTGTTGTTCAGTTAGCGGTCCCGTCACCTGGTATATGTCCTGCAGGCTACCACCACCGCAGTACTCCATGCAGATCCACAACTTATCGCGCCGCAGGTACGAACCATAGTATGTGATGATGTTTTTGTGCCGACAATCGCGCATCATAATAATCTCCTGCTGGATGATTTGTATGTCATCGGTGGGCTCGAGCTTGATGACTTTGATTGCGGCCAATTCATTGCTCTGTATGCGCTTCGCCTGTAGCAAAGAGAGAACAAAAGCAGACAATAAGAAATGGTTAAAAAATTGTGAAAGTGAATATTACAGCATCGCAGCGATAAATGCCGCCGATAATGAATGCAAATTGAGCTTATTATTATTCAAATGATTCCACAAACACGACAGAGTGCCAATTGGTGCTGGGCAAACACTTTCTACTGAAGAATAACATTGTGAAGCGAGTGCAAAAGGTGAGAAGATTGCCATTTACACGCTTGATTGGAAAAGAGTTTCAGAGCGTGTTGCCCTATGCCTGAGCAGGTTGGAGGGAGTTGCTGCATTATCGAGCAGTTGATGGGTTTGCCAATAAATTTTCAATTCTTTTCGCTTTCACTTGGCGCATAATAAGTGCTAGGCGAAAGTGGTTAAGAGGAAGGAACTAAAAAAATTATTTACATTTTATTATTATGCCACTAACACAAGCGCAGGTGCACAAGAACACGCACGCACACGCATATACTCTCGCACACACTTTTTCCTCTTCTCTTCCACGTGTCTTCGCCCAGCGCACAATCCCACACACCGCATGTCGCCATCTTGCGACACCGCTCACCTCCCTGCGCCCCCTCAGCGTGCTTGGCTGATGCCATTTTATGTAGCATGCAAATATTTGAATTTTCAATAAATTTCACTGCTGCACTTGATGCTCCCTCTGCCGCTCCTGTGACGCTGCTGCTTCCACTTTTCTTTGTTGCAAATAGAAATGCAAAACTTGGTTAAAAAGCAATCGACGAGAACGCTTTGGCGGGGGGTGGTTTGAAAGTTGAATTGAATTTAGAAGCGCCACCGATGGAAAAATGAATTGCTAAAAGCAGTGAGCAGTTAGTTTCGTTGATTGCACTTTACTTGGAGATAGTTGAAGTTTAAGTAAATCCATTAAATGCCATTCTGTTGGCTATTTGACTCGGTCATATCAAAATCGCGACTGATACTCGTACCTTGGTGGCTGCGTGCAATCCCGAAGGGAAAAGTGTGACCAAAATGACAAAGCTAATGGGTTGGAAATAAATTTAAGTAATGTTTAAGTTAAGAAAACGAAATCTATTTGATCCATTTTGAAATAGCAGGCAGGGGAGTGTGGGTGGAAAAATCGAAAGTTATTAAATAAATTTATAAATAAATAATGTTTAAGCAAGTAACTTCATTTAAAGCGACTGAAAATAGGTACTTGGCGATGATTAAGTGCTTATTGTCTAACTGTCTAAGCATTATATGAAATAATAGCTCTCGTTTTTCCTTTATAGTTGTATTATAAACTAATCAACTACAATAGTTATCGGTAACTGCTGAACACAAAAAGAACAGCTGAGAGCTACCACTAATTTGAGTTCCCTACTTGACCGCCCAAGCAGAATTGAATCAATCGCTTTACGAAAGAGCACCGAGTTCTACAGAGTGAAATTTGATGAATTCAATGTCGCAGTTGATAGCTGGAAAGCAGCTTACACAACATCTTAACTTAAGTCACTACTCAAATGTTCCACAAAAACAAAAGCAACCAGCGTAAAAGGCAAACAAGTGCAATGAGATGCACCGAAAGGATACTTCTCAACAGCTGTCGGGTGCTTGTGCAGCACACTCCATTCATACTCATTTTCCATTACCCACCAAATGAGCAAAGCGTGCAGCAGATCAGATATGAAGCACTCGCCGCCCGTGCGCCCAACCAGCCGGAGATGAGGTGAGTGGATGGGTAGAAGCGCCCGAAAAAAGGGGAATAACAATTTTGCGGTTTCGAATTGGCAAAGGCTTGTTGTTGCCGCCGCTGTTGGATAAGAATCGCAGTCGTATTTGTCATGTTTACAGGTCAGTGGGTTTTTCAATTTGCATTTTGCTGTATTTTCGTTAGATTCACAATCGAATGCATTTATTTCGCTCAAAATGCGGTTTTATCGAAATCAATCTTTTGCATTCGCAATGCGTGCGGTTTGTGTGAGCCGAGAACTTGGAAATCGAGTGAGATGCTATTAAGCTATTTTATTTGTTTTTTAAATGAATTTCTTTAAATCGATTTGACTGCTTGTCTGTTTGCCAGTTCGCCTGTTTGCGTTCTCAATTTTCAGCAAAGATCCAAATGCAACGGAATAATTCGGGTCGGACGCGTGGTGGTGATATCGAGTGGAAGGCACTCAAGCCAGAATTTCTCAAGAATCAGGTTTTTTTTTTAATGCTGCCATAAAATGCTCAAGCCTGCACTTCTGAACAATTTTTCTTCGTTGGTACTTTTGATTTTTTTTTTCGTGAAAGAGGCAATGAAATTGAAATGAGCATTTAACTGCCTCCTTCCTGCCCCTGAAATAGAAATATCCATTTGTTTATTTATCTGAGTTCACGCGTAATTAGTGCCTGACATTACCGTAAACAACTGCAAATTGGTTCATCATATTGTTGGAATCGACTTTTGTTTCTGATAAAATCAAAACTGGCGAGCTCCAGCAACACCTGCAGGATTTGCTTTAATACACCGAATTACAGTAAGAGTTTTACTCAATCGGGTAGATGACAAGTATTAAATTTAGCAAAAAGCAGCAAATACCGTTCGTTATATAACGGAAATTCAGTATGCATAATCGTTATCCTGTTTACTAGCAATGTAAATGCGTTCGGGTCAAGAGCAAGGGATCGAAGGCGTTGGGAGCTTTTGTAATCAAACTTCATTGTTTCGTAAATGGGTCCGGAGATTTGGCTATTGTATTATACAATCACGGAATATTTGCTTGTTTCCACAATAGCTGTAGATACGATTACATCGCCCAATATTATTTAGCAGAGGTAGGCAGAAACCTTTGATGAGCCACATAACCCAAAACAGACTGCTAGCACAAGAGCACACATATTCACACACTCTGCCACAGACATCTATTATGCCATGGAAACGGCGGTGGGCCAACTGGTCACCCGTGAAACCGATTTCATTGACAACACCTCAGCATATTCGTTTGCAGTAAATAAGCGTATCCTGTGCAGAAGGCTGCACGTAACGGTAAGCAGCCGAATGCATGCAACTATATGCCATACAGGGGACGCCGCCCTTTATGCAACATTTAAGCCCAACACGATTGTGAGAATAACTATCAATATATATAGTTAGTAGCTCATACACACACACACACATGGACACGTATAGAAATGTGCGCCAGGTTACTGAGCAAGTAAACGTCCCACAGATAGCCGGAGGCCGGATGGTTTGGGCGTTATGCAAATCGGATGGTGTTTGTCGGACCCAGATGCCAGCGGGTAAGGGCAGAATCAATGGGTTCAACATTGCTGCCAATCGCAGTACTGATACTTAAACATATATGGGCTGCTATGGATTGTATTTGAAGGACACAGTCAATGAGTGTTGGGGACGCACCGGTTATGCAACTGGGAAACGAAAGCTCGTTCAAGCACACCGGTAAGATGTCTTTGCAAAGCGAATGCTGCTGGGACCGAAAACAACACGCTGTGAAAACAGACCTTTGGGTCATCAGTAGCGCCCTGGCCGGTACAATAATGTTATTGCCAAATTGGATCGTTTTCATTATAGTTAACAGTGTCCGAATGTAGAAACGATGGAAAAATTAATGCATTTGGTTAGTTTATCCATTGTAAATCCAAAAATCATTAAATGCATTGTACTGCAATTATTTCGTTATCCTTTCAAATTCTTTCCTGCGCAAGACTCCTTCCGCAGCAAATGTGTGTGCCTTCGTAGCTTTTCTCGGCATCTTTGCCGCAGTTGGCGAAATATGAGAAACTGCATTATATCCGCTTTGTATAAAAGTGAGGGTGTATGTGTATATTTTCACTTCCTTTTGCCATCTTCCACCACACTGTAATGACAAGGGGAGGTCACCCTATGAGAGAGAGGCTGTTCGCCAGATCGCGGTGCTGAGTCAGTCGCCCTATTAGTGCACAGCAGAAATTATAAGCATCTTCGTCAGTGGCGGTATATTACATACTTGCAACACAATTCCACGCTACTCAGCACACCACTTTGTTGTAGTTGCTTATCTCTCAATATTTTCGTTTGTTTCCCAGTACACCGCACAAACAAGGAGTGAAACATATGTATATATAATAAGCTCGTATTATATTTAATTGTTCGACTTTTATATTCCTCCATTTGCAATTTCCAAGTACTTAATCGTTAAGTGTGCATAATAATGTTTTTTTGAAAGAGTGGCTTTTGGTCGCGAGGATCAGCGCAGAAGATACAGATTACTGGTGTAAAAAGTATAAAAGGTATAAATATAAAAAGTATAAGTATAAAAAGATATTTCCAAGTAACTTTTCGTTGGTTCGATCACTAAAATTTTAGTTTTGCTATTTTGTTACTTTAACTGAGGGGTAGATCCTCCATCTTTATTGTTTTCGTGTGTCGATTGGGCGCGTAATGATAAACGCTCAGAAGTTTTTATTCCGTAAAATTTTTATAACTTTGCTATTTAACTTATCTCTACTACTTTAATGGCAAGCTAACGGGACGAATATTTTTTTTTTGAACATTCGAAGCTTTACTGCTTCGGAATTCTTTCTCTATTATCGCCTGCCTCGAGCAGATAATGATGATAAAGTGTTTTCTTTAATGGTCTTCTTTTAGTTATTTGGCTTCGTGCAGCAAGTCGTGACGTTTTTTATTGTTAATATTCATGTAAAAAAGTTTGGGTGTGTGTGTGTGTCAAGCTTGATGTGTATTGTTGGTTACCAGTTTGCAGTTTTGCTGTTTGTGCAGTTCTCGGAGATAAATTGTCAAACTAGTTAGTGTAAATATTGTACAATTTTTCAAAATACGAGCAAAAAGGAAGTGAAAGCGAATGATAAAAGTACTATGTCCAATTGCCCTGTTTGGCTATTTCCTGCACTCCCTTTTCCCGGCCAACCCAAGCGTTTAGTTAGCCTCACGCACACACATCTACGAGTATGTATGCTACATAAAGCGGGCGTAGAGCATTGTGTGTTCAGTGCAAATGTTTGCCTACATGTGTGTGTGTCGG